AAAGGGACGAGTCGCAGCGTGTGCTCTGCGATATGAGTCGTAGTATTGTACCCTCTATTTAAAGCAACAGTTCAGGAACGGTTTGGCGGGAAAAAAACAACAATAATGAAGTTGTAGATGAAAACCAGACGACTAATGTATGAAAAACTGGAAAAAAACGTCGGGGAGGGTCTTAGACAGGTGCTCTCCCTCTGCCGCTCAGCAATGGATAAAGACGCACGTTGGAGGAGTTGTGTGAACGTGCCCGCTGTAAACGCGATCCATTTTTCAACCAATTTTCCCTGTGGTCCCAAAAATAGCACGATTGCCGACGCGTCCAATGACGGCGGCAAGGGGGCGGGATTGGGGAAATCCCCAAGAACACCCATGTTTGAGGGACTTTCCACCTTGTTTTTGAGTTTCTGAGGTAAGTTCGTTTGTTATTTCCACTGCATATGTTCTTCACTAGGGCTCGTGTATCCCTCAGTAATAGTGGCATTTAAATTTTCGGACCCTCCCTGAACTGTTGCTTTAAAGCAAGTTTGATTACTATTCGCGTGACGGTGGATACCGGGTTAATCGGGCAAACGGCCCACTACTTGGTTTCTGGCTCGTCCATTGCAGAAGTAAATTGGTGTGTAAGTGTAAAAAGTCCCATTCTGCGTGTTCGTATTTCTTGGCTACTATTTTTGCCACTGGCGCATTAGTTAGCCTCCCCACTTCCACTGTAAACCCAACCCAATGTTATCGTAGTTCCTCGCTTTGAGTCGAAAGTTAAGGGAATTGTCCACGAAATTCGTGCATTCCTTCCGCACTTCATCTCTTATAGGAGACAAAATACAAAGTATCTAGCCGGAAAATTCAGTTTCCGGAGAGAAATTAACCTGAGAAAACCACACTTTCAGACAGCCACTGGTAGATCGGGCGGAGCCAAAGGGGGCGTGAAAGGAGTGCTTTGGTGCAGCTGCGTATTGAGCGAGTATTCAGCAGCGATAAGGTCAAAAGGAGTTTTGGTGACGGGTCTTCAAGAAGCCAGTGGAAGCGCTCCTGCCGAGTTGATTGTAACCAATGCACGGCGGGGATCAGAACGTAACAGTCCTGTAAATTTTCTCGAACTGTTTCTCTGACAAACGACTTTTTTTGTTCTGCTCGTTCTGATTTGGTGAGTCTGGCTATCAAGCTGATGATTCATGGAGGACATAAAAATGTACCGATCCCATAGACGATCTTTTTAAAATGCAGCGGAATCTATCAGAACGTTCCCTACTACACGGTGCCCACATTTTGACTCAATTATATGGCTGAATTTGGCTTCCTCATCAAGGGTGGCATACTGTTGAATCCCACATTCTGTTGTCAATAATCTTATCAAGTTCCACGTCTTGCCGCTTCGTCTTCATCTCATGGCTTCAACCTCAATGGACCTCCTCTCTCATACAGCTATTAGTTTAGACGTTCAGTAGGGACATCGCGCTTCTTTGAAATCTTGACTACTCCGTGGCCTATCGTACACTGGAGAGAATATCAATGAACCAGTTTAGCTCCGCACGCTACCGTGCGCACGACACCGAAGGCTCCGGTGGAACTTGACATTCGATGCAGCGTTGGTTCCACCACTAAGCAGTAAACTGCTGCGTGAAATGCGTTAGCTAACTGTCCGCTTGATACGCGCGGTGGAGTACGGAGCTGAAATGTTGTCTGTAATCAACCAAAATGAATCGAATGTCAGAATAATTTGGCGGTCAAATAATCTTCGATACTAATAATGTTGAAATGAAAAATTCAGCACTCATTATCAAGTTCCTTCAAACATCAACTGTACCTTTTCAGGAACTCTGGGGAAAGTAGAGGCTCAAAGGTCACTTGGGAGGAGGAAGACAACGGAAATGAAGCGATGCTGAAATGATTTGCGCTATCTCAAATCTGCTTTTGAGTGACCTCTACGTTCTTACTCGTAGCGTTGTTATCAGTCCTTATCGGTCGTGATCATCTTCTGACCCTTACCAAATATGTTTCTGTCCCACCTGATCAATTCTTGAAACCAGCGACCCAGCTGTAACGCGTGCTATGAATTTCGTGAAATTGCGTTCTACCGCCTCTTATCAGCTCTTATCAATCGCTGTGTTTTTCTGACCAACACCAAATATGTTCCCGTCATACCCCTACATCACACTTGAAATACAGCGCTCCGTGGCAGCAGCGAAGGGCGCTATGAATTTCGTGACAAGTGGACGCACACACACGCACACAGACATACATACTTAGCGTTATATACAGGTGGCCAGAAATTACGGTAACGAGATGGAGCGGTCATAGAAAACCTGAACAACTAGAATAAGACAAGTGGACAGCAAAATCGTGAAGGGAAATGAAAGAAAAACCACACGGTACTTCCGACTAGTTACTATCCGCTTTGAAATACGAATGAAGTCTGCCAGGGAATGAGCTGACCGCGGCGTGTCGATAGACGACCTCGAGTGCGTTTCAGTTATTATGATGCGATTTGTTGAACCCATTAACGTCCACACGATGTCAGCAGCAGGGGCTCGTCTTCACTCTTAGTACAGCGTAAACCAGTAGACTTGAGTTGTAACTCTAGCTGGCCATTTTCCGAATGCAATAATCCCTGAGCAGTTCAGCTGGCAAGAACTTCGTACAAATTTCCCTGTGTGCCTCGGCACAAATGCTCAACGAGGTCCTTATTTCTTCTCTCCTGATCAGGAATTATATGAGTAAGGGAAACTTTGAGATAATCCTTTCTCTTGGGTTTTACGCTTTGTGGAACAAAAGTCAAAAGTGACTTGATTTTTGGTTTCATCACCGCGAATACCTCCATTGTTTCCGAACCCAATGATGTCTGAGATTTTGAGCTTTGGCTATGCAGTTTTTATCAGGACTAGCTCGACTGTGAATACTTCCTCATCAGTAGAGAGGGTTGGCAATACAGAATTGAAACAGGCCTCCGTCCAGCTTCACTTCCTTTTCAGTTTATTCGCCCATTGGAGAGCTGAGCTTTTCCACTCTCACCTTCCTTAGCCAGGTGATGTCTCCTGACGACTCCTTGCAAAGAAGTGCACCTGATCGCTAACACGGAGAGAAACGATGGGTTGAATGTGCTAGGGCCCGCTACTTCTCGCTTACTTCATCAATATTGTTCTTGAGAAAAAGAGAAGCTTCACTTCCACCTCCAGGCGAATCATTTCTAGCACCTAGTCGATTGTACTCCACAGTGGTGGTTGCTGCAGGTTCTGTGAAGATCCCGATTCTCTTTGCAATGTAACACCACCAGACACCTTGACGAAGCAAGCGAGTTGTTACTTCATTAAGAGCTAAAGGCTTGAACAATCCAAAGTAGATAAATTTTGAGTGGTAAAATCAAACAATGAACATCGTATTAGAAAAACCAAATGCGTAAAAGCTACACTCAAAACCCCATCCGTTTAATTTTAGAGTAGCGGTACTTCCTTGTTACCGTAATTTTTGGCCACCCTCTACAGTTGGATGTAGTCACTGATGCAGCCGCCTGTTCTGCCTACCTGGATCTCAGGAAAAGCATGAAGAAGCGAATTGACCGCACTACCCGGGTAGGCGTGGAATAGGTGATCAAAACGCTGGAGTTTACGAACACATTCATGTGGAGAGTGGTCACGTAGCAACTGATCAGAAGCCACTATGGGCTGCACAAGTACCATCAACTGAATCGAGGGAGCACAGCAGAGGCAAAAAGTTGAAGAGCTAGTGCCAAAAGACGAAAAAGGAAGTGAAGCGGGCACCATTTTTATCGACCATAAGATCGCTCCTGTAGCTGAGGCTGCTGTTTTATGAGGATTTGTTCCTTTTGTTTTTTTTACTAGTAATTGTTACTAGTTTAGCTGCTACGATATTGAACCACATTATCATTTAACCACGACACGTTACAGAGAATGGTGAATGTGGCTTCCCTGATCTTGGTGATCATACTGTAGGTGGTCTGCAGATCGGTGATCACATGGAGCATTTGATCTACGAAGCACTATAAAAGGGCGACCTCCCAGCATGGAGGAACCACTTTGCCTTTCTCGCTATCAGGATTGGTCGGTTCTCCACCCCACCCTCAATAGAGGACCAAGCCCGGATCTTCTCTCTATCCACATTCAACATTGCCTAGTTGTTACTAATAAAACTTAGGATATAAGTTTTCAGTACAGTGCGATCCAGATCCAGTGGTCCGTTCATCATATATCTATTACTGCGATACTCAAGCCTATTACTCCATTCTACACCGAACCGACGATGTTGACCTTCAAAACACCTGTGGTCCACACTTGGAGGGATAGCGTTCTCCAGAAAGTTTTGGCCATTCGTTCAAGAATGTTGAAGGAGGATGTCGATGACATTGACGTACAAATCTGACGAGCTTATTGAAGCGATCGAGGCCGAAGACGCATATGATGATCTCGCCTGAGGATAGCGCTGACCGGTTTTTGATCGAGGCATGGATGGGAACCTTAAACCAACTTCAGACTGGAATACCTTCGCCTGTTTCCGATAAGGTGTTAAGTATTGTGAATAGATGTTGAAATGTTTAGAAGTATTTTTTATACACTTTCAATGCCTGGTATGTTGTTTGTGGTTTGGTTTGCACTGGTCACAGCTTTCTTCAATTTATTATGGTTGAGATAGAACCACACCTCCCATATAGCGGAGCTACCGTCGTGAAACTGTGGATGATGCTCGAATCATATCTCGAAGAACCCAGTGAAAGAGAAAGGAAAATTAATTTCGCGCAGCAACCAATCCTCATCATGATCTAAGCAGGGTTGTCAACTTTCAGTTGCTCACCACTACTTTGTCCACAAGGAATGAAATTTGATGTGAGGCCTAACAGAGCTAACAGAATTTCGATGCATCACCTGTTACTAGAGGTGATGCATACCTTCCTCATTCTTCTGCTCTCAACCATCCCGTCTTCCCCCTTCCCCCTCCTTTACCTTAGGTCGGCATAGGTAGGATGCACTTGCTATTAATGTTTGTTGTGTTGAATTTTATTGTGCAATGTTTTTCAGTTGATCTGAAGAAGGGCTTAGGCCCGAAACGTTATCAGTAAAGTTTTATGAAAAAGAGTCTTCGATTCGCATATATCCTGCATCGGAATTATGAAGCTTCAATACTTCCATGTTCCTAGAGTACCTAGCCATGCTTCTACATGAAAGGCTAAAATTGATCGGAAGTAATGTTATAGACTTCCAACGTACTGGACCATCCTACATGGGCTGTGCCTGTACTAAGTGTCAAAGCCTTTTCTCTGCGAAGTTTAGAAGAGAACACCTCACGATGTTATGCGGGCCACGGTGATGTTGAGCTCGAAGCAGCTGGGGGCTATACTCGCAGCACCAGGGGAATAAATCACATGAACATCATTCGAATTAGTTGAATAGGTAAATGTATGGTCAAAAATTGTTTGCAACCGCTTGAGATGCATTCATATTGAAAAAAGTTACAAATCAAAAAACGTGGTGCAATATTTATGGGACATTCTGTATGTATTACGCGCTATTTGTCCCTAAGGGCGGCAATGAAGTAGAGCAAGTGGCATGCGCGCGGTCTAGGAATCAAGTCCTCGGTCGTTCGGTCCAATCAGGCTTTCCATCCCTACGGGGTCGGCTAATAGGTACCAGACTTGTGTGAGAGGATAAAAAAATGACTTGTACATCGGCCAGCCCCGCAAGTCATTGTATAGGCCAAATCGCATACAAACGCCACTAAGAATGTACAAAGGGAAGTGGAATGCGCGCCACATCCCAAAAAAGATCGGCAAACGCCTCATCCTTTTATCTTTATGTCTGCCTGTCTGTCTGTCCGTCTGCCACTAAATTCGGTACTAATTGAAGAACCACCTACAGGGTCCGGGTGTTTGGGATGGGTGGGGTATTGATTAAGAGCAACAAAACACATGCAAATGGGCAGAGCTCCCTACATCATTCTATCACGGTCCAAATTCGGAAAGGTAAATCACAGCGATACCATGCCGCGACCGCGGATGTGTGGCATTGTTCTTATACAATCACATACGAAAAAAATGCGGCTTCGAAATGAAGCGAGGACTGAGGAGAAACAAAGGACGTTTCTCCACAGTAAAAAAGGAGGAGTGAAAAATGAAACAATTTTAAGTTTCAAAACTAGCTCACCGTCGCAAGCTATGGATCCTTGCAATCGCATGTCATCGTCTGGCGTCTCAGACGGTGAGTCATTCGGCAGAGTGGGTAAATCAAAACTACACAATATTCTATGCTCATCTAGAGGCCGCTCCGTCCACGAGCTACTCCTATAACAAAAATTTTAAGGCTTAGGCCAGACTGAAGTCGTGTGAGCGATTCCCTCCGGAGTATAGGATAGACCCGGAAGGACAATCACGATATGGCATTCTTGTGCACGGAAATCGACCAACAAGAGCGCTACGACCTTGCAAAGTGAGTTGAAGCAGCTGCAATTTTTCTTTTATCAGGCTGTTGTCTGGTGTCCTCTCATCTGTTGCGCCTTCTCGCCTCACACTCGTCTCCCCGCGTCTACTCTATCACTGCCTTAGCACAACCGAACAGGAAGGGGAGTAAGCCTTTATCCTAAGTGTTTTTGACGGATTCTTTTCCTTTTTTCTGCATTGGGTCCATTTCGCATCAATACATTCTATTCTTGTGCAAGAACCACTCCAATCCGATCTTGGGGTGTGATTTTGAGTCATGCACAAAAATACGACAAAATGAGAAAAAAAATATGGAAATTCACCCGAATTCAGGGGCCAAAAATGGATGAATAGCCCTTTCAAGAAAATATCGATAAGGACTCGGTCAACGTGGTCGTTAAAAAAATCTGTTTATGACCTTGAATCGAGGGCACAGAAACAATTAATCTTCCAAGTGGTTCAACGCGAATATTATTCCGTTTGAGTTCAATTCAAGCGCACATACCCAACTTCAGCTCCCTTGTGGGCTTTGTGCTGGATTTTAACGCTCAATCGATGCAGATTCTCTGGCACTTGAAGCTCATCATACGACGAATCGAAGCTCTAAAAAGAGAGATGCTTGAAGTGGTACCTTCTAAAAGTACGTACTAGCTTGGAGTAGTGTTTGCACACAAGGTGAATATTGCTTGAGAATTCCTCAACCGCACGTCAAGGATTTTCGCTGATCCTTGATTTTCTCGCGCGCGGATATTCACTCTCGCCACCCGCGAGCCGTCTGTGCTCTCCGCGCGTACGTTCACTACCGGCTCTTTTCTCTCATAGCAGAGAGCGATGGTCAAGAAATTCTTCGACCATCGCTCTCTGCTGTGCTCGTACGTACTAAGACAAAGACACATTGTACGACCCAGGGAGTTTTCGAGGCCTCTCAAACCTACCTTGGGCTCATTCCGTTGTGTACAGATCAACGCCTCGACGGCATCCATCAGGTGGTCAGGAAGTCCGCTACAGACCGCCAGAGCTGCTAAGCAACTCGACGCTCGAGAACAGACTGATGGCGACCCTGAAGTAGTCATATTCAACTCATCTCCTATGCACGGTGAACAATCTACACAAAACAACAACATAATCTTTGCATTTTGAAGATTACATTTCTGTGCGAAAAGCCGGCTCCACTGGAAGAGGGTGCTAAATGAGTTGGAGGGACAGGGGGACCACGCGGCGTCGTCGTTTTTCAAGCGCGATAGGATTGAACTTGAACCTGTGGGAGTGGGTAAGCTGTGGACATCATAATTTGTGTTTGGCTTTGGCAAATCTGAGCCTACTTCTACGCCCACGCAATGCCGTTGCGTTTGACAGACACCGCCGCTGCGTAGTCTCAATCCCCCCTGATGGTAGGTGTTTTAGTATTGAAGGAGGATTCCATGATAGGAAGGAAGTACAGACCAACACCCAATTTGCATCGAAGGATATACCTCCGGCGATCTATCATGGCCTTCTCTTCGGCGCAATTGGCCTGGAACATACGCCGACTATTTAACCACTAGCTGCAGGTTTATATGCGGCTAGTGATTGATAGCAGACAGCGTTAGCGTTGAAGAGGGCACAACGATGAGAGTCGCTTCAATGTGGAGATCAACGAGCAAGGAAGAGATACCATTACTTGGATTTCGGGCCGTTTCACATGGTTTCTTCTTCATTTCTGCTTCAGTGACCACCTCTACCGTCATTTCCAGTGAGCTACATTTCTATCGTGAAATCCGGGGTGGAGGTGCTTAGTTTGAAGCTGAGTACGGTAGTGTAATCAGCGGGGGACTGTGGCGTAGAATAGGTCACTTCGCACTTCTCCAAACTTGTCTGTGGGATGACCCCACTTAATTGCTGAATACTGACAGGTGGAGGTGTATTTACCAAATGCTCACTGCACGCACCTTCTTCCCGTAAAACCCGTAGAACCTTCATCATTGATTCGACAGACTGTTTTGGCTCGTTTCGTAAGCAGTCTACTGGTAAATTCTGAAATGATCTCAGTAATAATAGTACTAATAGTTGCAATTATGCAAAATTAATTATTATCAATAACTAGTGAAGTTTGTTATTTTTCTAATAGATCTATGGTACTCAGAAAACTGTTCTAACCTGCAACAATGTCATTAGGGAGTTGAGCGCTTGAACGCAAAGTTCTGGATCCCGTCGGCTGAGTTGCCGTAAAATGTCAAACACGCACGACATGCCCACGCAAACCAACTGGTCAGCCTGAAATAAGCATTCAAACAAGTGAATAGTGTTAATAGAAATGATAGAGGAAGCGCAGTCGGAAAAGGCACCGCGTTGCCCTTGGCGAGATCAAACAACGCGCAGTCCATACACAAGCCTTCCATTAGGCCGATGTTAGACTGCGAATTGAGCGACTCGCTAGCGCCCGCGATAGCGTAGTGGTATCAGCCAATCGAGCGATTCGCTGGCCGCGATGCGACTGTGGACGCTATCGAATCGCTAGTGGTGAATCGCTCAATTTGCAAAGTCTGACATCGACCTTCTCCGTTCAGCTAATGGAATTCAAACTGTCTGGAAAGTGGTAAAATATCACGGTGACAACGTTAAAAAAAGGATAAAAAGAATAAAGCATTTGCCGTTGATAAATCCCTTTTTAGGATGCGGCACGCATTCTACTTCCATTCGTACATTCGCAGTGGCTTTTGAATGCGATGTGGCCTATACAATGACATGCGGGGGCCAGTCGATGTACAAGTCAGTGTTTTTTATCCTCCCAGACAAGTCTGGTACCAATTAACCGACCCCGGAGGGATGGAAGGCTTGGCTGGCCCGGACGACTCACGACCTTGTCACTACACCACTTCCGCCCTGGTGACAAAGTTACACAGAAAAAAGCTCTCAAAGCTGTAAAGTTTCTATTTCTTTTAAAAACACAGAGAGGACGCATGGCGCCTCAACACTTCACGCCGCAACTCAGCTCTGTGCTCCATACTAGATCGATGCCAAGGTTAAAGGATTCGTTCCGATTCGAAAAAACCACGATTCTATCTCTCCCATAAATCACCGGCTTGAGACTCGTCGTCCACGATAAGGAAGAAAAGGACAAAAAACGCATTTGTTCCTATGATAATTCGAGAAACTGCAAAGACTGCCACGCGTTCAAATTCCAGCCCAACATCTGTAACGCTTCCACTTGGTTCATGCAGTGCTGTCACTAGAAACTCTTTTTGACCTTTTGACTTATTGCACTGAGATCTCACATTTATATCGTATCATATTCTATCGATTGTTTTATCTCTATTCTCCGAAATCGAGTTCTTAAGCCGGATTCCTTCATTGCGTCGCCTGATACATAACCGCCTGAAGCGCTATTCTCTCCAAGCACTGCCTTTGACCTCGCGCGACCTGTGATTTTCGTGAGTTTGTTTCTCCTCGGAAACTGCACTATGCAGCGTGAGATTACAACACATATTACATTAAACTGTAGTGATACAGCGATACAACTAGTGACATAGTGCTAAACTCTAGTGATACAACTAACGAGTGCGTGGTGGAAAAGAACGCGATTTTTTTCAGGAAGGATTCCTTTGAAAAGCTAGTCTCGTCGTTTATGTGTAGGTGTCGGTAGAAAATCGCACAAACCCTACCACTGCACCATATACAACTTAGATTAAAACTGAAGAAGGTAGCATCGAGGCTTTACCTTGGTGTGATCGCAGGTATCTACTCGTTCTCGAGCGTTGTCGACGTAATTTGAGTCGTCCACGCCACCTTCTACAGTCTCCTTCTTTTCCAACAGATCGCCATATCTAGAAACGATTTCAGTAATGAATACGAATCTAACTGAATTCAGATTTCGAATGATAATGAGCTGTTCAAGAAGACACGATGGAAACTTACTTTGCCAACAATGTTTTTGCAATGGCAATCGTTGAAAACGAGGATGGAGGACCGACCACATGAAGGGCAGTCGAGAGCTCGTTGGACAGTTGCGGCAATTGGCCCACGTCTGAAAGACATTATAAGAACGATTATCAATCAGCATTGGATAAACCACACGACGTCTCTTGAATTGCGCCGTGCACTGGAATTTCATTCGAGGCCGTAGTGGCCTTGGACGCCGACATGTCAATAAACGAGTGCACTTGTGGTTATCGAATCATGACTCAGTGCTTGTATTCGTTTAGACCAATCAATACCAAATAGCAGAAACACCGAATATGGTGATTTGACCTGCACTGGGTCGAACCTTATTGTGTTTGTAGTGTCAATTTGATTACACTCAATGTCGATAGTAGTACACAAAGCAAACATAATTACTAATACCCCATAAAATGCCTTGCCCATAAAATGCCTTGCTCAAAGCGAAAGTCACAGCACGGTGGGCGTGGTCGGAAATGGCTGCAATCCCCTCAGCCGATTCCCACGTCGGTGTTGTTCAGCCACTAGTCAAGAATGTAGGAAGTGTGACTGAACAAAAACTCACGTTGGAAAGCCGCTAAGGAGGGAGTTGAAGTGGGACGTGGTCGGAATCGACTAATTGTAAGGGGATGCAGTCGTTTCCGAGCACGCTCACGCCTGCGGACTGTTTCTTTAGGTAGAGCGTTCTGTAATATTATCAGTAGATCTGGAGTTTATTGCATAAAAAGATTTCATCGAGTGTGTGCAGTTCACTCATTGCTTGCTTATATGTCTTTATTTATTCCCAAAAACCTTAAATGCTCAGAAAGCAGCGTGGTATCCGACACGCTTCAATTTTGTGCGCTTCGCGCGCACGGACTAGAACTCCAACAGAACTGACCCAAATTTCAGCTGCAGATTCATTTAAGCTATTTCTATCACCCATGATGATATGGCTACTCCGTAAACGACAGGTGAAAAGGGATCGGCTGATGAAAAATGCGAACAGAAACACTATGGAAATAAGTCTGAGATTTGAGATTTTGTTTTTTATTGGGATTCTGAGATGTCGAGCAGTAACCAAGAAAACGAAGGATCACGTTAAGAAAGGGCCGCACCGAAAGGGCCTTTGCGCCACACAAGCACTTACTTGGCTGCCAAGGAAACGGAGTGTGGCGCTTTCACGACGAAAAGTGCTCTGGTTCAAGACGACACACTCCGCCCCGAAATCGTTACGCCCACCAGTTCAGCTGCTGATTCGGGCGAGCTGTTTGCTGCTGATTTTTCTCATTTTGGAAGATCATTTAGTGGCTGTATTTTCCAACTTGTCCATACAATGCCTTACCAATCAGCAATCAAAACGTATGCTTGCTGCATGATACCGGCTTTCAAGGTCAACACATCCTAAGAACTCTTTCGTTGTTGCCGCTTATCCATGGCCGAAAATGAACGTGCAATTAAGGGAGTACTACTTTTCGCATTCTTGACAGATTTTTTCCCTGCTTTTTTTCGCCATTGGCGTATCACTGAGCACCCCACGTCCCCTCCAAACACCTCCAAAATCTATCTTGATCGCTGCATTTCACTAATTCCAGCCATTTCCATTGTTTGAGCGCTTGCAATCACTCACGGCGGTATTTCTTTCTTATGGCAAGACGGGGAAATGGGAAGTCACAACTGAAGTGTTCACGAGGAGGACCAATTTTTTGAATCTTTTTTGTCTGTTGCAGCCTTTTCTGTTTATGTTGATCTCTGGTTTGAGACCATTCCCAGCAGCAGAGCATAACAAAATTCAATATACAGGGGAGGGGGGGGGCAAAAAAGACATGTTGCCTAGGTCGCACTTCGACCTTTTTTTCTTCGCAGAAATTGCCGTCGCTGACGGAAGTTCCTCAGACAAATATTCCCTAGATGTTCCTCTATAAGTACACCCGGGTACTCCTTCCTACCCTCACCGTTCAGAATATGACGTTACCTCTCAATCGTCGAACTCAGGGAGGCCTACACTAACTGCCTCAGCCTGAAGCTCTTACATAATTTCTTGGATCGATTCAACATGGGATAGTTTCCTTGGGACATTAGCTCTAACTACACAAACCCCTTCGGAACCCGTCCATTGGAGCCCGTCGTTACGGTACACGATCAGTCGAGAACCCCGCTGAGCTCGATCAGAGCACCATGTTTCCGTGGCAAGCCTTTCTGATGCCATTCACGTAGATGGCCACTATGACCATTTTCCTATGAAATGAAATGCGCTCTTCAATTCTAGTTGGGTTCACACGCTTTGAGCTGAGCAGAGTGTGACTAAATCCATTTGAGTCTGGAGACAATATGTTTTTTTTATTGCCCCCCCCCCCACCCCACCCTGTACATCCATAAAAGAACGTTGACGCACCATGTGCAGCACGTAGCCACACACAAACGAACCGGCGTGCTGTATATGGTGCAGTACGTCAACTCATTGTCTAGGCTGATGTCAGAATTACGAATCGCTCGGTTCACAAAGTCTGACATTGGCCATAGAGTCGTATGATTGAGCATGCGGCTATTTTTTCGTGGGGATTGCTGCAATGAAGTAGTCCTGAAATATGCCTCTGATCGATATGGTTCTTTTGAAGCTTAAAGTGACTTCCTTTCTCGAAATATAGTACTTAAAGCTCTGGTGATTCATGTGAGTAGTTCCTCTTAATATTTTAAATAAAATGATGGACATCTATTTCTCTTCATCGAATCCCTATATTTACCCGACATACATGGAAACAGAATGCCGCGAATTTTCGGTTTCGTACAAGAATCTCCAAAGCTTTAGGCCGAGCACCGAAAAATTATGTTCTAAATGGAATACAGTGCGTCATGGATTACGACTAGTACCGAAAAAGGACACTCATAGGCAATGGGCAAAGTGAACGTGTGGGTTGGATCCACGAAGCCATTGCGCATCGTCCATGTAAGTTCCCACACTCTGGCATGGAGGGCGTCATGGTCCCAGGAGCTCCGAACAGCTCACAAAGCGCCCATTCCAAAAATCGAATCGCTAACCAACCACACCTCTTTGAGACTCTTCCGCCTCTTTCGATCTGCGGTATCCGTAAGATACTGCCCTTAGTTCGTACTGGATAGTATTTTTTGATAAGCTGAGCATACTGATCGGAGACGAGCTGAGAAGGAGACGGGGCGCTGGACGTCGACGGCGATATGTCACGAGGATAGAGTTCTCGAAGAAAATACGACATACCAAAGTGATTTATGCCATCTGAAATATAGAATGGGATCGCAACTGTTAATTCAAAATGAATTTTCCGTGAAACGACATCGGCATAACGGTAACATGAAGAAATACGAACACATTAGCGAAAAAAGGGCACAGTAGAAAGGAAACGACAAAAATTGAAACCAGATGACAAGCGAACGTTTAAAAGGCACGGCACTCAGAAGGAGGATTCCACGACAATAACGAAGTTTAAAGAAAGGGTAACTTACCCGGGGGAAGGACAGGCGGACCTCCTAAGGGTGTGCGGACCAACATGCACTTTGCATCGAAGGACATGCCCTGGGATCTAGCATGGTCTTCCCGCGGCGCAACTGGCCCGGAACGTCCACCAGCCATCTATTCCTTCGCACAGGTATACACGCAGCAAGTGATTAGACAGCAGAGAGCGTTAGAGCTGAAGAGGGTACAGCGATGAGAGCCGCGTCTGTAGAAATTGACGGGATTCCAAAATTTGCTATACTTAATAACCTACGTTCCTATCACTCAGAGCTATTTTTGTTGAATTTCTTGGGCCTTTCGAGGTTGTGTGAAGGAACATTTATTGCAATGGCCGAAAGTTTCGACTCATTCGGCGTCTTCAGAGGCCTGAACGTGTTCCAATCGTTGGGCTCACACTCTACACCATCAAGCGCCTCATCAACTCTAGCGGTTTATATTGTGTCAGAAACCTCTTGAGAAGATCAGAATAGTGCGAGAAATAAGCTCACCGACGGTTTCACCCCTTGAGCAGAGACTTCCGCTGCACACAGAGCGTTACTAGGTTGCAACTAAGGAGTACAAGCTGTAGTTCTCCATATCAAAAAACTTGTGCTTCTTGGCATTGATATAATACATGGTTTTGCCATAACTATAAACTCCCATGAAAAGTTGTTGGTTAAATGTCGCCATATGCATAGGTCTTTCTTGCAACAAGCTAGATTAGAATAGAAAATGTGCTTTACATATAGATAGTCGATATCTGGTACCAGATAGGAACCAACAAAAACATCCGATTCAAATCACCGAAAACATATTTTATTTTTACTTGTGCTCTTTAGAAAAGACGGGAGAACCACTTGGCCGATTTTGCAAAAATATACATCCATCCCATGTTTCTCGGTTGAACTTCATTGTCATTTGGTGGGACTGTTAGTTGCTAGCAATTCCTCATTTTTAGTGGTGACGAAAGTAACACTGCTGTTGGACTCAGAAATCTGCGAAAGAGTGAAGAGATCCGCCATGCGGTCAAACAGCGCCTGATTCGAGCCCCATTTATGTGGTTATTAAGCATTTCGTCAAGATTCCTGCAGCATGTGAAATCCAAAAGAGAACTGAACCCTTTTCTTTGCGTTACGGTTGCGATAACCGTAGTCTTGTAATAAAAACATCCGCTTTCCCCGAGGGATGCTCAAGAATCCGGGCTTCAAAAAACTTAATTTCTCGAAAAACACCGTTTGGCGTGTGTTAAAGGGACTCTGAGACCACTGTTCGACGGAAAGTGAGGATACATTTGAAGACACCAGATTGGCGCAAAAACCAAGCTAACTCTTCCATGTATGTATGCTGATGGTGAACCAGCTGCATCAAGTTCAGCTCTAAACCAGATATTATACTTTTTACGGTCTGCCTGCATTTCTCTCAGTTTTTTTTTCTCTCCACATGAGTCTGACAGAGATGAAAAACTCATATTTAACAAGTAAAACAGTAAGAGAAGTGAAAACAGGGCAATAAAACTTACCACATAACCAACATAACCTCGCTCCGGCCAAATTTTGGGAAATCTGGCCTGATTTTCGCGACGGATTCGTGTCTTCAAATGTACCCTGCACACTTCCCGTCGAAAAGTGGTCTCAGAATTCTTCTAAGACACGGTGTTTTTGAAGAAATTAAGTTTTGTTAAAGCCCGGATTCTTGAGCACCCTTAAGGGAAACGGTTGCTTTTCTTACTAGACTACGGTTATCGCAACCGTAACGCTAAGAAAAGGGTCCAGTACTCTTTTGGATTTCATATGCTGCAGGACTCGTAACAAAATACTCAACACCCACATAAACGGGGCTAACATCAGGCGCTGTTTGACTGCATGGCGCTCACTCTTTCGCAGATTTCTGAGTCCGACAGCAGTGTTACTTTCGTAATCACCTAGAAAAGAGGAACTGGTAGCAACCTAACAGTCCCACCGAAAACAATGAAATCCAATCGAGAAATATGGGGTGGATGTATATTTTTGCAAAATCGGCAAAGTGGCCCTTTTCTAAGAAAATAAAAAGTTCTCGTGTTTTCGAATGGGAGTTGGTGTTGACATACAAAATTATGTTTATATTGAGCACATTTTACTTTCAACGGTTTTCTAGAAAACACTCTACCATGTGAATTTCCAAGGACTTTTCAGGTGGACTTACATTTATGCAAAGCAGTGTATTATATCATTAATGCAAGAGGCACGAGTTGGAAGACGACACTATAAACATGGATCCTACAGAAATGCCGTACAATGGATCACATATCAAGGATGCACAGCTGCGAACACACCGCGACGGTGCCCCAAAGAAAACAACGTCGCAGCAAAACCATCGATTCGCCCTTTTCTTCGCACAAAAAAGTGGTCGACATTAAGGATACGCGTTGACGCAACGCTGAATGACCACAAAAGAAGGATGATGGGAACGATTGAAATCAAGGTATAAGGGTGAGGGTTGATTGGCTTCGCTCACAGCACGCCTGCACCGCAAGATAGCGTCATGAAGGTGTGACCATGACCAATCAGCTGTGAGGAGGCGCTTACGTGGCTGGTCGATCTGTTTAAAGGCAAGGGTCGGGATTAGTTGGCCAAACCAACCCTTTCGGTCATGCCTGTACTTGGGTACGCACCCGTAAAGATGTTCCCACATTCAAAACCCGAAACGGCGCAGTAATATGGCCCCAGGGCATGTACTATGCGCTATTGCAGCCTGGCCTCGCTACGACCGCCTACCTTGGGATGTGGTGCGTGGCTGGCAGAACGTGTGAAATCAGCTAGGATTGCCGATAGAACGACTGATATCTTCAGAGAACTTGTTTGTACGTGCCTCTTCGCCAAGACAGCCCCCTTCATTGCAAGTGGGAGAGAGGGTTTTGTTAACAGCCTTGTCGACGGCTTCAGTTTTTTTTTCCACTGTCATTCTACTTCGCATCTCTATACTCAGTTTCAATTGCCATAATACCCCCTTATTGTGCCCGACTTCTGCCTTTAATCTGGGCTGCATGTGAGAAGTATAATATTATCAATGGAGACGACGGGAGGAGGGGTGCAGGAGGAGGGGGTGGGGACATGGTCAATCCTACTTTGGGACTAGTACCGACGAGGGGATCATAGTTTTGGTGTTTGTTGTGGTGGTAGGTGGTGGGGGGGTCGTACGTGTATCGGTAGCCATGAAATCACTTAATGAGGCGCGGAAGAAAACTTGTCGTTTCAGGGTGCGGTGCGTGAATACCCCCCCCACGCCTAGAAAATGCTGTAGTGAAAATATAGAGAAAAATTGGTGAAATAGAGGGAAAACGATGGAAAAGTAAAGGGAAATAGATGAAAATGAGGAAATGTTTGCGGTTCCATGGTAGTTATATACCCCCCGTTCGACGGCGTTTCTTGAGGGAAAAAAAGTGGTGGAAGTGGGGGGTCGTGTGAAAGCTTCCGTGAAGGAGGGGGTCGTAAGAATTTTGGAAAAAGTTCCAACGATAGGACCTATCCTGGGTAGAGGTGCTTCATGGATGTGGAGGCAGGGTCAATCGCCCGTTGCGCAAAGAGAAACGAAGGGGTCGCATTTGGCCAATAAAAGGGGAAGGAAGGGGGGGGGGTCGTATTCTCCAATACCAATCATAAAACCTTAAAATGCTAAGGCATGGCTCAGTGGCGAAGCAGAACAGACTTCCAACCACCGAATACGCACCACAAACGATTGAACGGCGCATCCCAGTGCGAGATTTCTTGCTAAGACACGTCATTTCCCAGTAAGCACAAGCGAAAACTCTTTCAGAGGAATCTCACGCTTTTAAAACAAATCAAAGTGGAGGAAAGCGCAGCGAATTCCGCATACCAACAATGGGGGTTGTAATAGAAAGCAGAAGAGAGGCTCCTTTCAGGATAATCTAGCATATGTCATAAAGTTCTGCTCCTGTTGATTTCAATTTTTTGTTTTTGCTTCTCAAAGATGGAAACTCGCGTTTCAGGAAAGTGCCTAGAAAAGCAATGGCGGGAAAAAAGGAACAACAAGAGGATTTCTCAAAAAAGTGATCAATCAGATGAATTTAGATTTTTTTTTCGAAAGCGTCAGTCTAAGTTTCTAATTTCTAATTAAAGATCGCAAAAAGTGAATAATGAAGGAGGTTATGAATGTACGGTATGAATGAATGAAGAACTGAGAGAAATGAAGAAAGGTATAATCTTTTAAATGAAGAGGTTCATGTCGTAGCGTAATAATTTCAAGGCTTAGTTATTCATTTTATAAAAAAGGAAATTCGAGGTTCGAACAAACCTGCTAGATCCTTGAAATTAGAAATTTTTGCGATTACTACCATGCCTATGGTTGGGCAAACGCTTGCAAATAATTTCCATTTAATGAGTGAAATTTCATGTTGCTCCAATTCGTTCCTCTGAGTGAGGCAAAGCGCGCGGACTTTCCACTGTCCATCACCTCTCCATATCGGTGACAGCCCCACATGGAGAGGTGATACAGTGGAATCATTGACATCGACAATGGGATAAGAACATGTCACCTCCGAAAGGGGGGGGGGGGAATGTAGAATGTAAAAATTTTGAAATCTGCTCAACGCACGGCTCACCCTGTGTGGAACGATAATGTTCACATATGAGGAAACTATAGATGTAGAGATGTTAACCTTTCGCTTATCGTGGCAGACAGAGAAACGGAAAAAAGTGGATAGATCAGTAGAATATCAGTATCAATAGAAATGCGAAATTTCCGTCACATTAAGAGTCAGCTATTTTC